AGCTGAGGTGGCTCGGGCATCTGCTTCGGATGCCTCCTGGACGCCTCCCTGGGAAGGTGTTCCGGGCGCGTCCCACCAGGAGGAGGCCTCAGGGAAGACCCAGGACACGAGGGAGAGGCTATGTCTCTCAACTGGCCTGGGAACGCCTAGGGGCCTAGGGGCCTAGGGGCCTAGGGGATTGGGAAGTCTGTGCGGCTTTGCTAAGGCTACTGCCTCTGCAACTCGACTCCAGATAAGCGGGAGAAGATGGATGGATGGATTTTGCTCTATATGTTTTTTCAATTTTTGTGACATACGACTACCTGTGCTTTAGAAAATATCAGCAGTTGACATTTGCATCATCAACATTTTTGGTGATTGTTTGCTCAAAGATGGAGCTCTTCATGACAGCTTCACTTTTTTCATATTTGAACTGGCCCATTATCACAGATTATTTGATCTTTATGTCCAGTATGCAGATTCTGAATCAATGTCATAGTGAGAACTAATAGACAGAATTCTGTTTTTTGACTTTAATATATTGTTGCTTAAATGTAGCTTCAAATTTCAAAGCCCAAAACAAATGTTCTAAAAGTGGGTCGATGGGCAGTTTTAAAAAAAATAATCTCTGAAAGTACTGCATATACAGTTTAGTAGACCACCAGTCATAAAAACAAGAAAACAAAAATATTTTAGAAATCTTTCACAAAACTTGTTTAAAACTAAAAATGTTGTTAATTTGGCCAATAACCGGAACCACCTAACCATTCCTAGTCCACCCAGAGTGACCAGACCTCAGATCTCCTACAGCCTCCTTGGTAGCAGCTGCTTCTTGCTGCCAGTGTTTCTATGAACTCTTCAACAGTCTCTCTGGTGTCACTGAGCTCCACATAGTTTCTAGATGTTCCCACAGACCTGCTGTAGATGAAACTTTTGTGCGATCAATCTATGAATTACGACATCCCAAATGTGTTCAATAGGATTCATCAGTTCCAGAACTCCAGATTCCTTTTTCTGGGTCAGATGGTCTCTGCACAGCTTTGAAGTCTGCTGGGCTCATTGTCTGGTTGGTGTATGTACCCACGACCAAACAGGTTCAGTCCAGAAGGGATCCATGATGCACTAAGGTGTTTTGGTAGATGTTCTGGTCCATGGTGCACTAAGGTGTTGTGGTGACGTTCTGGTCCATGACGCACTAAGGTGTTGTGGTAGACGTTCTGGTTCACGATACCGTTGGTTTTCACTAACTTACTGTTTCCACTAATGGAGCCCGTACCAAGATGGAACCTCCAGCATGTTTCACTGTGGGTGCATCTGGCATCAGAATGTTCTCCAGCTTTTCTGAGGACAGAAACACAATGATGCTGACTAAAGAGTTCAAACTTGGACTCGTTTCTCCGAAGGACCTTCTTCCAGTCACCAACAGTCCAGTGTTTGTGCTCGCTGGCAGATCTGAGGCGTTTCTGGATGTTTGCAGGCCTCAGTAAAGGCTTCTCAGCAGCTCTTCTTCCCTCTAAGCCTTGTTCCATCAGTCGTCTCTTATGGTCACTCTGGAGACTTTCTCACACTCTGATCTAGAAGCATTCATCTCTGGCTGAAGATCAGCAGTGCTCTTCCTTCTGTCTCTGGTCCTTCAGGTCTTGAGGTGTCCACATCTACTTTAGTTAACTTTGGTTTCCTGCCTCTTCCTTGGTGAATTTTATAAGAACCAGTCTCTGCAGTTGAATCCAGATCTTATCTGACCACACTGTGAGAACATGTTCTGTTTTCCCCTGTTTGTCTCAGAGACCATCCAGCATCATGATGAGCTTTGATGTGGACTCAGCTCTCCATGTTTTCCCATTTTAAACAGGAATGAGGAATTTAAACTGAATTCACCTTTAAATCTGAGCCCCTGGGCTTCTCTGAGGAGTCAGACATGAATCAGGCATCACATTCAACCACTAAACTGATGTTTCTGTTCAGGAATGGAAGTACAGAACTATAACTTCACATCCTATCAAGACATAATAATGTGCTTTACTCTTTCTTTGGTTTTTCTGTGAAACAGTAAATGTGAAAATTCATGAATGACAATAATAATTATATTCAAGCATTAGAATATCATTTGGGTTAAGGTTCCTCTCGTACTGGGTAGGATTGCTATTGCAACAACACATCATCAGTAGGGTAAAACTAACCTGTCTCACGCCAGTCTAACCCCAGCTCATGCTCCCTATGAGTGGGTGAGCAATCCACCGCTTGGTGAATGCTGTTTCACAATGATAGAAAGAGCCGACATCGAAGGATCAAAAAGCGACGTGGCTATGAACGCTTGGCCGCCACAAGCCAGTTATGCCTGTGGTAACTTTTCTGACACCTCCTGCTTAAAACTCAAAGAGTCAGAAGGATCGTGTGGAGCTTCTCCATACTGGTGTATTAACCATTACAGAAACATGAAAAAAAATTATGTTGGTAATTACCAGTGCTGTTATTTAGGGAAGCTGTGGCATAAACCTGACACTGGGTGGTGGTCTAATGCATTTGTTAAGTACTGTATTAAGTTAAAAAATTCCCAGATATCTTTAGACATATCACCGTTATACAGTGAGACTCACCTGTGGCATGAAAGCTTTCTGGATCCTACCTTTAACTGTCCATTGTAGCCCTGTAATGCCTTCTGTCCTTCCTCTGTCCAGGTGAGCGTCCTTTCAAGTGTGAGAGCTGCACCTACTTGGCAGCCAACCAGCATGAGGTGACCCGGCACGCCCGGCAGGTCCACAATGGCCCCAAACCTCTGTCCTGTCCCTACTGCGAGTACAAGACGGCTGACCGCAGCAACTTCAAGAAGCACGTCGAGCTGCACCTCAACCCTCGCCAGTTTCTCTGCCCGCTCTGCAAGTACGCCGCCTCCAAGAAGTGCAATCTGCAGTATCACATCAAGTCCCGGCACTCTGGCTGCAATGTTGCTGTTGACGTTTCCAAGGTCAAGCTGCGTGTCAAGAAATCTGGTCCTGATGAGGAAAATGCTGACTCCAAAGCCAACAAGTTTGACAATTCTTCAAGCATTGAGGAGGACTTTGACATGGATGACGGGGAAGAGGACTCAAGCCCTATCAATCTGTCGATGAGAAAGATTGGCAGGCCCAGTATCGGCCAGAGTGAAACGTCTGACAAGTCTCAGAAGAAATCTACTGTCACTTCTGAGAAACTCCCGAAGGTGAAGGACAAAGTGGAACCGGAGAAAAAGGTCACAACGAGGCAGAAGAAGGTGAACGAAAGTCCAGCAGAGAACACAACTGCCAAAGAAACCCAGATGGAGGTAACGACTGCCGTAAACACAGACAGCAAGGTGAAGAGGCGAGTCAAGAAGCCCCCGGCGGATAAAACCGCCACCCAGGACCAAGCAGAACCACAAAAACCCCAAACAGAACCAGTGAAACCTAACCAGCAAAGATCGGAGGAGGCGAGATCAGTGAGGCAGAAAGTGGATAAAGAAAGTCAGAAAACCGACAGCAAGAAGGAGAACAAGAGCCTCAGCAAACCCCGCAAGTCTGCATCCAAGAAGTCGGAGAAAACTCCAGAACATGTTGAAGAAGCTCCACAGAAACCAGACAGTGCAGCAAAAACTCAGAAAGAGAAGTTGATCAAGGACAAGGCTGCAAAGAGGAAAGCTGTGGAGGCTTTAGATTTATCCAGAGGGTCCTCCTCCGAGACCCCGTCCAGAACCAGGCGGCTGAAAGCCTTGAAATCTGCTTCAGAAGACACAACCGAGACCAGCCAGTTCAGTTCAACGACACACAAGTCTACGACACCAGGAACGCAGAAGAAGACCAGGAGTTCCAACAAGAAGGCCACAAGTCTGCAACAAAAAGCAAAAGATGAGCCGGGGTCTGTTATGAGGCCATCATCTAAGAATCAGGAAGCATCCGCTCAGCTAGACGACCCAACACCAGCCACCACCGCCGATCTGACAGAAACCACCTCCTTTACAGACCAAGCCGCTCTGACAGAGCCAGAGAAGACTCCGGATGTTTCACCCAGCAGCAGCTCTGCCGACAACACGCCTTCTCCGGCTGAGGACCGGCCTGCGCCGACCTTTGTGAAGCCCACGTCGCCACCATCTCTGATGCTTCCAGGCCAGCGAAGCAAAGCCACTGACGCCGAGGACGACGAGGGCATCCACAGCAGCCACGAAGGGGGAAGCGACATCAGCGACAGCGCCTCCGAGGGCAGCGACGACTCTGGCCTCAACGGTAACGGCGCCATCTCGGGTAAGATGGCCAATGACCCTGAAACGCCCACTGATGAGATTCCGACGCCAACGGAGCTCAAGAGTCACATGTGCATCTTCTGTGACCGTACGTTCCCCATGGAGGGGGAGTACCGCCGCCACCTGAACCGCCACCTTGTCAATGTCTACTACATGGATGCCAAAGCTCAGAAATGAGGAGCTGTACGCATGCCGACGCTCAGCAGTTTGAGAACAGACACCAGGTTGTCACAGTTAGCTCACCATGTTTGTTCTTATGTTAACTCACTGAGTGCCTGTAGATTTAAACACATCACAGCGTGAGGTCCAAGCACCAGCACTGCAGCGCTGCTTTCAAGAACCCACAAAACATTTCACCGTCTTCAAAAATCAGCCACAGGTTTTCATTTCTGTTTACTCCAGGTGGTGCCGCTCTCACAAAATGACTGTTCGACGTCACACTTTGTCCTGCAGCGTCCTGAGCTGCGATCGGAGTCGGGGAAATCATGTGTTCAGGGCCTAGGCGCTAGAGGCCTGAGGCTGCGCTTGGTGTTTGGACTTCACCGCCACCGACTGCAGTTTCAGTCTGTGAACACATCACAACATCATCACGTTATGTGTCACACGTATTTCCTGAGCATGTCTATCTGCTGCTGCAGCTTTCTGACACTTTCATGGGATCTCTCAATGAATTTACCATCATATCACATCAGCTCAACGTTTGGAGACGAAACTGGTTAACCATCTGAACTCTGGAACGTAATTTTTCCTCACTGTGGGTTCATTTTTCATCGCAATGTAAAGTCCTGCAGCCCTCTGGAAACAGCACAACACGACAAGAAGGAGAAAAAACTTTGAAATGTCTTCTGTACAGTCAGGCACAGTTAGAATGAGACAAGTCAGAAAAAACAATACACTTCTTTGATTATTAAAAGACAACAATCAAAACCTGGAATCAACATGTCCACAGTGTTCACAGGTGTTACAGGTGTTACACTGGGAAAATGGAGGCTCACCAAACTGGTCACATTTATACAGCCTCTGCAGACCTCTCTACACATCAGCTGTAGAAAGATGTTCCACCATCAGATGTAGAAAGATGTTCCACCATCAGATGTAGAAAGATGTTCCACCATCAGATGTAGAAAGATGTTCCANAACCAGCTTGAAAACCAGTACAAAACCCAGTCGGTCCTAAAACAATTCCAAACCAAGTACAAAACCCAGTCCAAAACAAGCTTGAAAGCTACTCCCCAACCAGCTTGAAAACCAGTTCAAAAACCACTCTAAAACAATTCAAACCCCAGTCCAAAACCCGCCTAAAAAGTCTAAAGCCAGTCCAAATTTAGCCTGAACCCAATTTGAAAACCAGTCTAAAGCACTACAGAAACCCAGTCTAAAACAGTCCAAAACAACCAAACAAGCCCAGCCCTAAAACCAGTCTGAAACCAGTCCAACACCCAGTCTGAAACCATTCTAAACCCATTCCAAAACCCATCCCAGCACCACTATGAACCCAGTGTCGAGGTGACCGTTGTTGTTCAGCTCGTGTTGTGTGTCTGTCCAGGCGTGAGCTGTCAGCGCTTTGGTGTTGCTGACTAACTGTGGTGTCTCCTGTAAGTCAACATTAAACCTGACCAATCAGTGAGAGTCCCGTCAGGTGTCTCAGCAGGTGATCATGTGCTGCATCCGACTCACTGTCAGCGTTTCTGTTTGTGCCGCTCTGACTGAAGCTGCCGCTGTCAGGCTGACACGGTAACATGGTGACCTCCCCTTGTGTTGTGTTGTTGTGTGTTGTGTTGTGTTGTGTTGCGTTGTTGTGTGTTGTTTTGTTGTGTTATTGTGTGTTGTGTGTTGTGTTGTGTTGTGTTGCGTTGTTGTGTGTTGTTTTGTTGTGTTATTGTGTGTT